CTGGAGGTACAAAGCACTTTTATTCCTTCAGTCCCAAAGTATTCAATTACAGTCCCAATAGTCTCACTCTCTCTTTTCCACTTGCATAGGAAGCCACAAAGTGATACTAGGATGGTAAGTCTGTGCTGGTTTTCAACGGTACACATAGGTCATCACCTCCAAATCACATGTGAGCAGTGGATGTTAAAGCAAAATGCTGAAAATGGCACAGCTGAAAAGAGGAAGAGGAAAAGTAACTTCCACCTCCATAACACTATTTTTTTGTTTCAGAAAAGCAGCTTAAAGCACTGCAGTTTATGCATTTATTCTGTGGCCATAGATACCCTCTAGCTTTATGTCTTTCCTCACAGAGAGCTGGTGTGTCCTCTTCATGCATGGCCTCTCTCATAATCCTTTTCTCAGAGCACATAAAATAAACAAAACCCAACTTTCACCCTGTCCCAGGATCTGCTGCAGAATCCCACATACAGGTACCCACACCACAACTGCTTGTCCAAAAATCCTACCTACCTCCTTCCTGGGACTGGCAGAAAAGCCAGGCTGCTTCTTGCAACTTCTCCTTCTTGACCTGGCACCCTCCTGCCAACCCTCGGTCCCTGAGCCCAGCTCTATGTAGAAGCAACTGCAACATGAGAGCCATTTGTGGAGCCAGATGGAAACAATCTCATCAGAGCTCTTCTCCCTACCTAAGCCAGTCACAGGCTGTGATCATCCTCTGATCAGACTCTGCTGGGAGACAACCAGCTGATTGACTGCACAGAGCATGGTCAATGTTTCTTGGTGGTACAACTGAAACTACTTGACCTTTCTCACCGAGGAAGGTAAACTCACTACAAACTGTTATGGTTTGTCACACCACCCTCCTCCTTCTCTCCCTTCCCACAAATGCTGCCCTCTGTGCAGATGCAGCCTCCCAGGATGCTCTGTTCCACTGCACCAATAAGAACCAGGAGCAAGATTCATGTTCCTGGAACTCTTAAAAACCACATGCCTGACTATTATCTTTTACATCCTCAGCCCTAACTGCCACCTCTACTTCAACACAGGCTGCTTGCCATAGATCACAAACAAAAAACGGAGGCCTTTATCACTGCCGTGGAGATAAAAAACCTATTGCGCCTGTTTTTCTCTCAGGCCCACTTGGATGATCCACTCAGTGGTGTGATGGAGAAATCAAATCAATGACACTATCATCCACTGATCAGTGAAGCAAGAGAGACCCCCATCCATCAGCTGCAGAGCCACCCTTTGCCATCAGCCATTTAGCTTGCAAATTATAGAAACTGTATAAAGAACTGACAGAATATGGGAGGACCATTATAATATATAGTAATATATTATATATCGTTAATATGTGGTGTATTATATAATTACATTTTGGCTACCACTCTGAAGTTGGAATTCACAGGGAAAAATCTCAGAGCTAGTGCTTCTACAGTGACCTGAATCTTATTTCCCTCTCATTCACTCCAAAGAGGATGACAATGTCAGTGGTATCAATGGCATAACAGTGGCACAAGGCTGAGAAAGAGACTCACCCCTCTTATCCAAAAAGAACCTACATCATTGCTCCCCGCTGACCAGGGCTCTCATTCTGCTCTGCAGCACAGCTCAGAGGCTCATTTTCCCCAGCATAAAGAGTAAGCAAAAATACCAGTAGATCAAAATGACAGGTTTGTATGTTATCAGCTGCAAAGACAGTGGAAATTCAGGACAATCTTATCTGTAATAAAAGAGGGACAGCAGTGATATGAATATCATCGCTTTTAATTTATCATAGCATGAATGTGCTATGCAAAAGCTGAAAATATTACGAGAGCCCCCACCTTGAATCTCTGCCAAGCAAACTATTTTTAGTGGTATGTGTTTAGCTTGCTTGTTAAAGATTTAAACCTAGGCAATAATTGCAGTTACTCTTCTGTCTGGTTTAAGTAAGCAACATTTATTCATGTACAGTGATTAAGTCAACTATTCCAAAGTAAGCCACAAAGCCTTAAAGCAACGAGGAAACAGGATGGGATCCTTGCTGAAGAAAGTCAGCTCTGTGATCTAAGATCTGATTAATGATAAACAGCTTATTAAGGCAGAGTGGAGGGAAAAGAGGTGCAAGTTATGAAGGACTATTTGATTCATCCCTCTGAAGCCAAAGTGAGAACTGACCGATCAGAACAAACTCTGTCATAGATTTTACAGACCCAGTTATTTCATGCAGGTCTCTGAACAGCTGTGGGCTTAGAGCAAGTCCATTCAAGAGCTGGATTCATATCAGGAAAGAGATCCATCCACGATCAAACCCCTGATCCATGTTGTTATTCTGTGTTCACACTTAAACCTTACATCAGAGTTCACTATACTGCATATTCACTCTTTAAACTGTCCTGGTTGAGCAGCAAAGTTCTCCTGCCCTGTTTTTCCAAGTGTACAGATGTGTACAAGCTCTTCAGCAACAGATAAAACAGGATATAACCACCCTGCATGCTGGGGGTGAGGGAGGTTGCTTTTGATGACGATATTCTGAACACTTGGAATAGCCAGTGATTTTTGCTCAGTTCTTTTATGCTTAAGAAAATAAGTCTACCTGCTTCAGCTATTTGTGCAAAACACCTCATTGAATAGAAACTTTTTTTCCTAAAGAAGCCTGGTACATACCCAGTGGGTAAAAGGACAAATGGCTGTAATCTTTGACTACACAAAGTGGGTATTTCATTGCTGCACAAAGCCCATAATTGAACTTCTGCCCTAGGGGCAAGCTTTCCTGCAGTATAAGTGCTTCCAGATGCCATACAGGGGTCATGTTCCTTGTTAGCAAGGCAGAGCTTTACATCCAGTTAATTGTTATCCCCAGCTGTCTTTTTTTTCCCCATCAAGACTAGTTTTCCAACAGTCATTCAAGCAAATGTGCTCATTTCCCAGTTCCCCCGCAATTCCCCACCATAGTGTAACAGAGTGCAGATTTTGCATGGCTACACTCCAAACTCCATGGTGTTAAAATGATAGCAGCAATGGAAAAGCATGTAGCCTCAATAATCATAATGTGGGATTTCAACTAGAGGTGACTCAGTGGTAGTCACACAGATGCTATATGAAAATAGAATGGTTTCTACGTACAGAGCATTAACTTGTGGTTAACCCATGGAGTTAGTGCTCATACATGAAGGTTTTTATGGCTTGCTAAGCAGCAAAAATTACTCAGTCTGAATTAAACTGATGACCTCAATTCAGTTCATTGTGTCTGGGTGTCCATCTCAGAACACAGTGACCATGAGCAGCAAGTCCCTTCTCCCATAATTCTTTTGGGCTTCATCTTTGGTGTCAGTAACACACAGAAAGGCAAAGACCACGTCCATCCAGTATTCAGCTCAGTAGCAAATTATTCAATGATTTGGAACAGCTCAATAGTGGCTGAGAGAGGAAAGTTCAGACCACAGCCTGCTGCAAAACAAACTGAAAAAAACTGCAAGGAAGACAGTGGATATGATAAAAGGGCAACACAACCCCTTCACCTTCCTCAAAGTATTAATAAGAAAAGCTGGTGTGTGCATTTGCGGTGTTAGTCCCTTGTTAGCAAGCACTAGCTACCACTTGCTTGGGTTTCCAGACCTGTTGAAAAACAGCTCGGGGGAGTTCACAGTTCAGGCTGCCAAGCAACTGACCATTAAACACTCAAGACCAAAGCCTAGGGAAGAATTTTACACCAGCTTGCTCAATTTTACCAATAACATCTCTGGAAGAGGCAGCTTCAAACCACTGTAGTCATGCTTTTCAGGCTGTCCTTCCATACAGATACAGCCCTACCTAAATAGCCCTTACCGCTCCCTCTTCCCTCAGAAAACAACCCAGCTTTTTTAGTCAACAAAAGATCACTTAATCTTTGTCAGAAGAAGAGGTTTGACATTTACAGCAACCCACTCCTAATCTTTTTGGTGTCTATTCTCTGGATTCCCCCAACAGGGAAACCCACACTATTCTGTGGGCTTCCTGACGAAAGTTGTCACTGCCTGATGACAAAAAGCAAATTGTATGCCATAATCTTAAAGGTCTAGAGCTAGATAGTCAGCATCTGGACCTCATAAGGTTATATTTTCCCCAGCAAGTTCACTACATCTTTGGAAGATCTGAAAACTATTCTTTTTAAAATTGCTAGTTCATAAACTAAAAACCAGAGAGGAAGTACAGCATCATCAAAATGTTCCTCATCTGACCCTGCCTTTCCTAAGCTTCTGTCGGACCAGAAAGCAAACAATTTGTGCCAAACCTTCTCTGTGGGGACTTGTGCCAAGGCTAAGATTTGGATCCTCTGATTTGTTAGCACAGATAATTCCCACTCACATTTTCCCTAGCAAGATGAGGGCACAGAAAGCCACTTACTACACTGAACTTTCAGGAAGCATTGCCAAGCAGCATGTCCCTGTGCTCCTCCCAGTGCAGAAACTTCACCAGTTCAGACAATTTCTTACTCCTGTTGTTACAATTAACCTTCAGAGAAAATTATTAACTACATTATTATGCCTATGAGGGACTGATCCAGATTATTAGCCTAGAAACTATGTCCTTACTGCAATTCCACAGTTGTTTCTTCTCCCTGGATGAAATCCTGACATCTTCCCCACAGCCTGGTAGTGTTTGCTCACTCAAAATTAAAGGACAATTAGCTCCAACAAGGAGAAAGGCGATTACATCTCCTTCCTTAACTGGGACACTGGAAATTAAAAAGTTCTCCCCCTCACCCAGTGCTATACCTGGAAGATCCTGCATAAAATTGGGCACAGCTTTACCTGTAACCTGGCCCAATATGTTAAACGTTTCAAAGAAAAAAGCTGGGGTCAGCATCATCTCTGACAGCCAGAACATGACAAGCTTCGAGGAGATGGGGGGGTGGAGATCAGCCTCTCTGGGGATTTGTGCTTGGCTCCTTTTCGCACAACGCCTGCCTCCAAGCACAAACTCCCACTCGGCCCCACTGCCTCCCCCCACCCCCATCAGTACTGTTTCATACTCACCATGTCATAAACATTCAGAATCACCGGTTCATTTGCCATTGTTGATTGCAGTAGAGGCTGGATTAAAACCTTTCAGTCCCTGCCAGATGTGTGTTGCTGCCCCCAGGGTATGCTTTTACCTTGAGCCAGATAGGAGGAAATGCCTCATCCTACAATCTCTGAAGGAAGGAGCGTCAGGGAGGAGGAAAGGAGGGAATTCTTGCTGTTGGGGGTGGTGGGGGAGTGGGTAAAGTTGGCTGCAGGGTGGCAGGAAAGCTTAGGCTGGGTTTGCTGGTTGTATAGGGTTTATCTCACCCCTCCACAGTGCAAGAGATACGAGGTTTCTTTCTAACTCTGTAGCGCACCTCGGGGTCTGTAGACTCATACACCACTGTAACCAAGCACCGTCCAAGCTTGTAAATCCCGATCCACAGAAGACAAACAGACTCCAAGCCCAAAGATAAGCTCTCTTCTGGCTCCGTGAGAGAGGCGGATGGTAGCGCGCGTGTG